ATGTAACATATCTGTGGTATTGGAGGGACGAATTCGCTCTAATTGTGAGATTGTAACGATTAACACCCATACTGTAAGTCTCTAAGATATAGCTTATATACAAATCTATGATATAAGTATCGGCAAATATTAGAGCTTGTAGCTTATGTTTCAGGTTTTTCAGCCTCTTTTAGACTAGGTGGAAAAGATGCAGAACAGGGAAAGAAATGAGTAGCATTACGAAGCCTGATCTCACAACTAACTCATTTTTGGAGAACATGTCATTCTTACTGGATGCATACTGTGCCCAATCAATTTTGGCTGCTGCATTTTATTCAGGCCCTCCTAATCCCATCTGCTTGATCATTTTTATTTTTAACTTGGTTCTATGTCACATGTTCACAGAAAAGATGTCTGTGTCAACAAATACATTTTCGTTTTTTTTACGAAACAAGTTTCTGTTTTACGTCTGAAATATACAGGAGACAAACTATCTATGAACACAGGATGCCGTCTTCAAGTAGACACATTGCAGATAAGCATATGGCATATTGCAAGCTCTAAGTGTTCTATTTTGTAAAAGTTCATAATGCATAATTGAAATCAAAGGCAGTAGATTACGCTTAGCATTGTGGGTTTCTATTAAGTACGTGAGCCATGTGCACAAGCATATTTGTGTTCTCACTCTATTGGGATGGTACTGCTTTTGAACTCCTGACCTCATGCTGAGCAGAAGGGAACTGCTCGGCATTAGGTGCTCAGCACGAACTGCTGTCCCTGCAGGTTCAGGAGTTTGGAGAGATGATAAGACACGCGTCTAAATCGTATGCTCAACATGTTACCGCTAAAAGCATATTATGATGCCCCTTCTCACAAGTGCTCTTCATTTCTATTTCAGTTTCATTATCTGTAACCCCTATATACACTGTGCACTCTAATTTTTTACAGATTCCTCGACCATTCGACTGGCCAGCAAACTGAAGTCAGCATAACAGGAGCCAAGCCAACAAACACAGCAAAAACTTTGGATCTTGGCATCGGAAAAATTTCGTATTACAGCGCTCGAGAAACCTTTCTGTATTTTACTAGAACATGTTTTTGGTCTAGTTGGTTCATGCTGAAGAAAGGTTAAAGATACAAGCCGCGTAGACGAAAAAAAAAGAGGGGGGGGGGGACAGGTTTTTACGCTCTGTCCCGTCCCCTTCTATTTTCGTCTATGTGGGTTGCGTCCTTAACCTTTCTTTCTGTTGTTGCATAGTTTATGGCCCTTTGACAGTTTTCTACCTGGACATTGTAGGGACAAAACTCACGTTGATATCGTTGATCAGTTCACCTGCATCGCGAGGCGCAACTACTTTTGCCATTCTTGTTATAAGGATAGCAGTAAAATTCTAGCAGTGTGTCAAAAACTGCACCGTTTTGTAACATGGCATATTTTATTCATCTTTGCCCATTCCTTGAACACAGACATTTAGATATTCTTTTACAGGCATGGCTCACTGCACATAGTGGAAGGCACCCGGTGAAATGCAGCGTTATGGCACAGGGACTCAGCCAAGTGTGACGATGTCTGTGTCCCTTCTCTGCCTATCAGACCCATATGTGTTTCATGCTGTACATATAATTATTAATCTGGCATGACATCTAAAATGGTCACAGTTTCTTGTTTAGACTAATGGCACAGTAATATATAAAGACAAAACAAGTCAAAACATAACGCAAAGTTTCGGAAGTGGCAACTGTGTGGCCACTGCTTGCAATAATGAGTTACCTGTTTGAATGTTTTCTTACGTGGCTTGCCCAGTTTCTTTCCTTTTAATTAACAATGTCTCCATAATAAAATGCCAAGCAAGTGCCCCGCCTGAGTAAGAACCTCGCTTTCTTTTTGGGGAGATGCGAAATAAGCACAAATGACCAAGCAAGCCCCCCTTTTTTTACGGTGAGCATCGCTTGTGTAAACGAACCACAAGGAGGAGTACACTGAATGTGTATCTAATGTTGTTGTGACTAATGACTAATGTTAATGTGACTAGGATGGGCATTTTTTATTTTAGTGGCTATCCTGCCACCATCTTGAATTTCGGTGTGGGATTGTGCAAGCGACCCCTCCCCCCCCTGCCAAAACTGGTTGGAATATTTTCCACCAAAGAGGTGGTGCTTGCACGGCATTTCACTGCACATGTGTCTAAACAACTGATGCAAATAGCTGCTGCGCTTGTTAATAGATGGTTTTTGTGGAGAAGGCTTCTCACATCGTGTCACTTATGATGTTAATTTCTTCTGGTTTCCTTTTTGTAAGATGACTCGTGTAATGCCATGTTGAGAATTCCATGTCAGGTGAACGATGAATCTGTGTCAATAAGTACTTTGCAGTTTGTTATTGCTCAGTCGTGTCTTGATCAGTCAGAAATGTTAAATCTTCATGTGGCTTTACCTTAACCTCTTTTTTTTCTTGCACCAGCGTTCCTGTTTGCTGTGATGGGACTTTTTTGGGTGTTTGTTTTCAACGTCATTGAATACACCAGATTTTCTTCTGTGTAACACTGCTGACAGGAAATAATTGATTAAGTAATGCTTGTGTAGGGTGCTAGTTTTCCTGTTCCCTGCCCATGTGCATGGGCACAGGATTAACGGAACAAACTTCGTACTCTGCACACTAGCCAGTTGATGTCAAATTTTATTTGCTCTTTTCAAAGACTTGTTTGAGAGAAAAGAACCAGATGAGATGAAGGTATAGATGGCTTGCACTTACGTTCCCAAAACAACCACGTTGGTGCACCATCATGGTGGGCTGTGAGTTTCGTGATGTCACTTTAGTGTTATCAGTGCATCGCGTGCTGGTTCCTTTGCTACTTATGCACAGAGGCCTAGTAACATTCTAGTGATGTCGTTATTGTATTGACGCAGATTAATTGCCTCTCCTGAATATACTCATAGGTCGGCGAAAATTGTGGAGATCGCTCAGGCATGAGATATATTTTGCACTTAGGACTCTCTCTGACTCCCCGAAATTTTCCTGATCTGGACTCACTCGGACTAGCGCTCACTAAAATGTTCTTCAACCAGACTCACTCTGGCTCAAACTCACCAAGATATTATTCGCACGAACTCACTCGGACTCGCGACTCAATCCGATTGATCGATATGTGGGGTTTAACGTCCCAAAACCACTTCATGATTATGAGAGACGCCGTAGTGGAGGGCTCCGGAAATTTCGACCACCTGGGGTTCTTTAACGTGAACTCAATCCGAGTTTGAGTGAGTCCGTGTGAGTCGACTCATGAGTCCGAAAGTCTAGAATTAGCCTTATCGATCGTGGTGTCAACACCAATATCTCATGCAATCTGTGATTCTCTTGGTGCCTTTTGTTTGATGCAGTACCTTCGATTATGAGACAGGAGGGGTTGCAAACCAGCAAGGACATTTTGCTCAAAATAAATGGCAGCATAAGCCGTATTTATCATTGATGATTGATATATGGGGCTTAACATCCCAAAGCCACCATATATATGATTATGAGAAGTGTGGTAGTGGAGGGCTCCAGAAATTTCTACCACCTGGGGTTCTTTAACGTGCTCCCAAATTCGAGCACACAGACATACAGCATTTTCGCCTCCATCATAAGGCATATTTATCACGAGCTTTCCCGGAATAGTTGGCGTTGGAGGAGTACATGACACCCCCTTATGTGATTCGTGCCCCTGATTAATAAATAATGAAATGGTGTATGAACGATACTGCTTTGGAATATTTGTGAGTAGACGTGGGTATAAACATGAATACGGGTAAACACTCATAGCAATGCTTAAGATGAGTAGATAGAACGACAGGTCTGCAAACATAACTAGAACTTAGACACATTCGTAGAATATATCTTGCACTTGATGGACTCACTCGGACTCAGACTCGCCAAAATTTTCCTGAGCCAGACTCACTAGGACTTACACTCACTAAAATTTTCTTAAACCGCACTCTCTCAGACTCAAACTCACCAAAACATTACTCACCCAGGCTTACTCATGCTCACGGCTCCATCTGATAGATATGCGGAGTTTAATGTCCCAAAACCAACACGTGTTCATGAGAAGCGCCGTAGTGGAGGGCTTTCGGAAATCTCGACCACATGAGGTTCTTTAATGTACACCCAAATCTGAGCACACGGGCCTACATCATTTCCGCCTCTATCAAAAACGCACCCACTGCAGCCAGGATTCGATCCCAGCTACCTGCGGGTTGGCTCCATCTGAGTCTTAGCGAGTCGACCTATGATTATACTGCCATGTCGGTGCCATGTTTTGTGCCGTCACCTGCAGACTATCTTTACTGTAACTGTTATGCCTGCAGGCTTAGTGTGCGTTTTGGGGGGGCATGCATGCACAGGCATATTCATTCTATGTATACAGCTGTATGCCGTGAGTTATCATGCCAACACTCCTTGACTAGCATTTGCTCTATATCAATTGCTTTTCAGAAACTTGACATGGCTGCCACAGTGATACAGTAATTATGCTTCTTGGCTGCTAACCTAAAAGTCGTGGGTTTCATTCCAGCCACAACACTCGCATTTCGATTGAGGCGAAACGCTAGAGGTCCGTGTGCCTAGGTTTAGGTGCACATAGAAGAAACTCAAGTGGCCGAAATTTTCGGAGCCCTCCACTACAGCATGCCACGTAATCACATTGTAGGTTTTGTACTAAAATGGCAGATATCACGATCGCATAAAGGAGCTAGTTGGGTAACCGTGTGAATGCCCTCACAATAGTGGATAAGTATGTAATGTTAATCCTGCTGAATATTTAAGGTTGACCTTATCGATGGAAACTGTAGTACATATGTGCAGGCATTTATAAGGAATCTTAAACGCACCCCTGATATTCTCTCTCGTGTGTATTGCCATTAGAGGTTGTAAGTGATGACATTTTTCATGTGGTTGTTCGCACTTTTTTTTTTTTCACTGCTCAGTCTTTCCTAATTTTTCACGGCACAGCATTTTTTGCTAGCCTCCCTACCTTGCCTTCCAGCACTTACTGTGCCATTTGCTGAAACCGCATCGTTTCTTTTTTTACTTGTGCAGGGCTGGTCGCTGTGCACGATCGCATGGGCCGGCCGAGGGGAGACCCCGTACGCAAGTGTCCCTGAGTGCGACTACGCTACGAGTCACAGCTCTAATATGGCGAAACACCGAAGAATACACAAGGGCCAGTGCCCGTACGAATGCGACTACTGTGAAAGGCGCTTCTATAGCAAGAGTAATTTGGTCACACACCTTCGCGTCCACACCGGCGAGAAGCCTTACCACTGCCACCTCTGTCACTTGGATTTTGCACAAAAGGTCACCCTTCACCGCCACTTGAAAACTCATGAAGGCGAGAAATGTTTGCCCAATGTGAACTACAAAAGAAAAGAAGACTGAAACGACATGTCACGTGTGCATCTGATTCAGTGATATCAAGCGCGGGTTGGGGTTCGGAAAAGCTTGCGCATGCCTGCGAAGCGTGCCTCTGAGCCACTTCAACGACAGCAAGAATGTGCCTGACGATAAAATAGGGTCAAACGAAGCACGGAACTTATACCAGTGTCACAGGGTGCACGGCAGATTGCGATTAACTCCTACCGGAATCAAATTGGCTCCCTTCTGAAGCTTGGCTTAAAGCAGCCTAGGAGGATCAAAAGATCTGGACAAGATCATGTGCAATCATAAATTGAATCAAATTGGCTCCCTTCTGAAGCTTGGCTTGAAGCAGCCAAGGAGGATCAATAGATCTGGACAAGATTACGTGCAATCATAAATTGAAGTGACCGTGTAACACCAGTGTTATTGGATGTTGTACTGAATGTCGTAGGCTGTGTTCCTGTTAGGTGTGCATTTATATAAGTTTGTGGTATGTGAAAACAATTTTTGCTTTTATACGTGCATTTGCGCATGTTGCAAAGCTGTACTGTACAAAATAGTTTGTGAAACTTTGGTTTGTTGATGTTTTGGATCACATCAGTACTCCACTTTGAGAACAAGCCGCTTGTTTTCTTTTTGGAATAGTCAGTGGATATCTTAGATATTCATACTGTTATATGTATGGCCTGATTGTATGTTTCAAGAAAGGAAAAAATGATATGTTGCTTTAGAACTTTCTCTCTAGAGCAGTAAGTTTAGTTATGTTGTCTTTGAAGAGAGGACACGTGCTGTTATAGACTTTCCTCTGTGCTATCAAGGTGGCTTTACTCCAGAACATTTTGATGCATAATGCCTGGCTTCTTTCTGCACTTTTATAAAGATGTTCCTTGGTCCTTTCTTTGCTAGTCAGCACATCTATCTTTTACATGAAACGAAAGAGGGTGTATCACATTATGTGTAAATTTCAGTGCACCCGCGTCGCTGCTGTTTTAATTCCAGGGCTGAATCACCACCTTGTCTTGTGTTACAATGTACAGAAATGAACACCAATTCCATATGCCATGCCCAGCTCCGCTGATTGTAGGACTAAGCTAACTCTGGGTGTTGTAGCCATAGTTGAGCATGATACTAACATTACCGTGTAGTGCCAGCTACCGTTGTAGTGCCAGCAAGCAGGCCATGAGACTCAAGCAGGTGTGAAGAGCGAGTGCTCGGCGAAACCAAATTCCCTTCGCCATATTTCGATGTCACCTGGAGTGAGGCGAGGGAAAGAATGAAGGCACTTAAAAAGGAGAATAAGGTTGACTTGACAATTTGGCTCCATCCCGTCAAGCTGTTTCCCTACACAGCGCGTACTCACGGCCCACCACCACGCAATTTTGGACTTTAGGAAATTATTCTCTTCGAGCTTTTAAAAATGTTTGAAAAACAGTAACGCCGAAGGTCTACCCCAGGTTGTTAAAAAAGAAGCTAGCACAGAAGTCAATGTGCCTGTTTTTATTATAAAATGATCTTTTATTTCCATTTTTTTATGTCAGTTTCCTCTCAGTCATTCTTGCATGTCTTCTGGATTTTTCTGCTTAGAGATAATTTCACTCACTTGCATAGTAGCAGTGCAATGACTCACTGCCAAAGTAAACAAAGTGTAAAATTTAAAAGAAGGTGGTGGTGGTGTGCTTTGTCTGATGTCATTAAACTAGGAAGGAAAATAAGCAAAATAAATAAATAGGCAAAGCGTGTTTCCTCTGTTACGTCACGCTCTTTCAGTGATTGTTTGAGCCATTAAAGGATGTTGGATTGCTCCTTTCTGTTTTGGTGCTGTTGCCTGGCCTATTTTATATTGAAGCGTTTAGCGAGACCTCTTCTTCCTTTTTAATATTTGCAACATAAATATGCCAACAAGTACTTGCAATGCCACTTCCACTGAAAATTGGAATAATTAAGTATGGGTGCTTGTGCAATAAAAACACTTGAGACCGAAATGGTGGCCTACCAAGTATTTAAAGGCAAGGCTGGTACTTGAAGATCACTATGGTTTCGTAACACATACTGAAATCAGTACAGAGAATGACATACGTCTGTTAAATTTCACAAGATTTCATGCACAAATAGACAAATAAGATTCATTTGTCTCATTGCCCGCCACCTCTCAAGTGCGCAGTTGCAAAGTGCCAGTATTCAAGTCCACTGACCAGTTAATTGCACTGCATATGAGGCTGAGCATATTACTGCAATAGTATGCTAGAATTATTTCGGGTTACTTGAAGATGAAGCACCTGTAATGAATATTGTACTATTGGTCATTTGTTATTGCTTTTCCCTATTGAGAAAGAGTGCTTAGAGGATTAAAACATGACAAGACTAACACACCAACACTAGTGTGCCTAGTGAGTGGCTGTTTTTGTAGTCTGGAAGAGTGGTGACATGCGCAATGCTTCCTGAACAGACTAAGCAGCTATCCATCCTTCATAATACCACCAAATAATTACACGAGTACTGTCAAATGAGAGTTTTCACTCTGCATAAATTTTCTGTATATTATTTGCTGGATACCAAACAAATTATTTCATGTCCAGTTGCATTTTTTTTGCAGAAGTTTCTGGTTGTACTGTCTGTATTCCAGAATTTTCGACAAATATACCATTTCATTCACACCTATTCTTCATTTTTCAAATTCACTTCACAGTTGCGAATATCATCCTATCCGTACACCCATAGTGCTGTGCTTTTACCAACATTTATGTGCATGCTCTTTTCATAATTTCGTCTCTCTTATCATTTCATGGAATTCGCACTCTTACCCCCGGTGTGGTGTAACTGTATCTGCAAGACTACCTACGTTGTCCAGCAGTGTTAACTCTGTTTGCTGAAAAACGCACAAATTTGACTTTTGCAGACATGGCCATCGTATGCCACAGCCCTGCCGTCTACCCGGCCAAGCACTTGCGGAAGTGCCTGCTGTGCAGCTACACCACGAACAACAACTCTCACATGGCAAAACACTACAGAACCCACACGGGCGAGCGTCCATACAAGTGCGACTACTGCGACAGAGCCTTCAATAACAAGAGCAACATGATCAGGCATATGCGCATCCACACCGGTAAAAAGCTCTACTAGCGTCACCTCTGTTCCTGGAATTCTGCACCGAAGCCTGAACTTACGCGCCACTTGAAAGCTCGCTAGCGAAGTCAACGTTTGCCCGATGGCGCTCCTGTCCGAGTTCTGACAGGAAGGGCCGAGAAGGCTTGTGATGTGAGCATTCCGTTTTGTGGGTTCGAGTGCTGGGCTAGATTAGGTGAACTTTGGTTTGACCGTGCCCAAGTGAAATCAGCTACTGTGCCATTTTAATGACATAAAGAACATGCGTGACTCCAGCACATGTACAAAGAGGACTCTAAACTATTTTGGATGTTACGACGAATCTCGATAGCTGTGCTCATATAGGTATGCATTTGACTGCATGTTTGACATGAGCTAGGTACTCTTATTCCTGTGTTCAGGCATTTTGCAAGGCTTTTTTGATTGAAACAATTTGTGAAGTATTGGCTCGCTAGATTTATGTATGATTTCATTCCATTTTTTCTTTGCCAGCTGCTGTGTATGATTCTTCACTGGTACCTGCCCTTTCCGATAGGACTGATGTTATTTATTTCAAAAGCCAAGCCTTTTGTCTTTTTATGATTCTTGCCCTATAGCAGTGAGCTTAGATATGCTGCCCTTATCAAAGAGTTATTAAATTTCTTCTGTGCTGACAAGTCACTTCTAAGATGTTTTGATATGTGATGCCAGGCTTGTTTCCATTCCATGACAAGGATGCTCATGTGACCTTCAGTGTAAGACTGTTGGCATGTGTGTTGTTTTATGGAATAAAAAGAAGATGTACACTACTTGATGTGCAAGTTTCATGCACCACTTTTCATACCTTACATCGCACAAGTGCTATTTTTATGCTGGGGATGAATAGAAGTTTAGTTTTGTTAAGGTAAAGAAGTACACAGCCAAGCTTCACCAGCTGTAGGTAAAGCTGTCATTATGATTACCCTGTACCTTTGATTACCAAGATTGTGCTCTTGAAGCTTCTAATTTGACGTTGAGTGCAGCGATGCTCTTTATAGGCCATTGGGGAATGCCATGCATCTATTTCATTATAAAAGTGCATGCTTCCTTTATATATATATATATATATATATATATATATATATATATATATATATATATATATATATATATATATATATATATATATATATATATATATATATATATATATATATATATATATATATATATATATATGCGTGTGTGTGTGTGTGTGTGTGCACGGCATTGTGCACAATAAGGGAGTTCCTGCATTGCTACCAGCTGCTGCGTACCTCGTGTCAGCCAGTGCTTCAGCGCCGTGCCCTGTGTTCTCCGTGCGGCACGTCCGCCACCTGATACTACACTTTTGTAACATTTTCCCACCATCCTTGCACTAGAAATCAAACATTGGAAACAAAAACTATTCCTGTGCTTCAAAGAGCTAATTAGTTCAGAGTGCTGTTAGTAAATCAAAGAGAACTATGTACACTGGGTTGGTCCACCTACACATAATGGTGCAAGCATGTAACTGTTTAACAACTAAGTCAAAAACTGCTTCCATGTGTTTTTCACTGTGCATAGAGAGCCCCATAATTTTTTATTCTGTGTATTTGAAACCACGTTTAGATGCGACCAATGAACCTCAATGACAGCCCTATACTTGATGGAACCTATGCTTTGTTCATGTAAGTTATTTTTTATTGAACCTAATTTTGCATAACTTAAAGATGATTCACATAGTAGCTGACTGACTGAAAATGACACAAATCAGGAGCTCCTGAATCCATATTTATGGAGCCCGTAATGGGCAGAGCAGTATACATAAACTGACGTTTTTGTAATATATAATATCTTGTCATTTGGACAACAAGTGTGGCACCATTTGTTTTTGGTGCTTTCGATGATGTGGACTACTAACAGCATTCTCTGTGATGTCTTGTTGCCATTAGATATGATGGCTGATGCATTATGCTGAAAAAAATGTATAACTTTTGAGTGACATATTTATGGTCACTTAATTGCTGCATCTACATCATCGAGCAAGTATATTCAAGTGAAACTCCCGCCAGCGTGCGCGGTCCAGTGATGTCACAGAATAGCGCCAACCTGCAACACACCGCAATCACACAGTTTATACGGCGCACTCAGAGAACGCGCCCCGTTAGAGCTATCATAGCTAGAGCCAGGTTGGCAGCCAGAAATTTTTCGGGAGGAGGGGGGCGCTACCTTAATTTCGGGAAGGGCACCCCCTTAAATAATTATTTTTCGCTCTCTGTGTCATGACTAAAAATTTTCGAGAGGGGGGAGGGGTACACTGCACACGCCCGTTGTGCAACCCCCTGGCTACGCCCCTACTTAGAGAAGGGGCGGATCCAGCCACTCATATTAGGGAGTGAGGGGGGAACCACTGCTAAAGTAACATTGTAAAGGGGTGTGTGTGGTCATGACTTTTTGTTTTTACTCGCAGAAAACCCCTTCATAGCATAAAAACTGTAATGAGTGCTAATGATGGCTTCACTCATTTGTCCTAATTGGTGGTAGGAGGTGGACTACAAGCACTGCAGTGAAGGAGGGGGGCGATGGATGCTCACACAGACTTTGAGGGCGGGCAATCGCCCCTACCGCCCCCCCACCTCTTCTTTCTGGATCCGCCACTGGCTTAGAGCTATGTTAGGGAAAGATGAGGGAAATTGGCAGACTAGCCCTAGAGCTATAAGACTAGCCATAGTCTAAGAGCTAGTGCGATGACAGCGCCATCGCCGCTACCACTTGTGGCGACGACGCGCAACACTACGAGTATGAGATAATGTCGCTCGGAGCCTCGGACTTGCACCACTACTGTAATTTTAGTATGCTTATCTAAAAAAATAAATAAATAAACATTCTGTCGTTTGTGGTCAGTCTGAGGCGTGAGGTTAGACACCATCAATCTGATTGCCACGAATGTTTTTGTAGCAATAAAGATTTTGAAAACTTAATTACTTTACGATGGGCTCGTCCGACTTCAGAAGAGCTTTTGCCTGTATGTTCGTGGTCCATCGCGATGAGCAGAACGGGAGCAGCAGCAAAGATGGGCGGAATCGGCAGTCATTTGAAAGCTGACGCCTTATCTCTGGCCTGACGCGTTCTGACGTTTTACGACAGACTGCATTGTTTCTCTCGACCTGCGAGTGTTCACGCAGTGTGCCTGCAGTGAGCGACACGGCCTACGGATGTTGTTTGCCTCGAGCTTCGCGGGGATCGGAAGATTTTATGAGTGCGTGCCGACTACAACGCGCGAGTGTGCAGTCGGCTTTCAAGAGAACAAAGCTCCTTAATAGAACAGCCCGCCGCATGGTGCAGGAAATCTGAGCGTGGTCTGTTGTGACTGCAGTGACGAAGTAATCGCGCGTTGTGGTCTGGTAGAGCTTTTGTTCCGCGCGCTCTCTTGTATTGCTCGCGTCGGACGCGCTGCGTTGCGTTGGAACTTGTTTATTCCGCGACTGACGTACTTTACGAGTCCGGATCTTATTCCCTTTTGTGATGCAAATCAAACGCGGTCGTCGGGTGTGCACGCTTACTGTGATGCGGCAGCATGGTACGACGTTGTTTATGCCGCCGTCACTATATACAGAACAGCTCGCGAGGGCACTTTCGAATCGCGATTGAAGCCGATCGTAGTGAGGCTCTGTCAGGATCTGCTACAGGCGCGATCGCAGTTTGACTGACGTATGGCCAAACTTAATCGGGATTAGCCGTTCAGCACGTGATTATCGTTGATTGCGATGAAAAAATCCAGTCTGTATCGGCCCTAATCGCGGTGAAAAGTTGAGCTCAGATAAGTTTTCATCGGAAGGAGCTTCCCGTTACCTTGTATTGAAAGAGGTCCGCATACACTGTGCTGAATTAATTTTGGCTGCCACGTTTTGTTCGGGCTTCAATAATCCTGTTTGATAATTCTTATTTTCTTTTTCTGCACTTATTTTCTTGCCACATATGTTCAGTGACTCAATATCGGCATATTGGTGTTTAATGCGAATATTTCTTTTTCTTTTTTACTGAAGTTTCTGTAATACCTCAGAGGAATAAGGAAAACAAATTCTGTGCATAGGATGCTTTTGTGGTGGATATTGTAAAGAAGCATATGGCAGATTAAAAGGGTTTTTTGGAGAAGGTCATGATCTAGCACGGGAATTTAACATGATTTATATGTTATTGGGTATGAAATATAGTAGCTTAAGCAACAATCCATAATTTTCTTAACATGTATGTGAATCCAATTGCATAAATTAACTCCCAACCTCAGACTGAGTAGCACAAAACCGTGGCTTGGGAAAGATGATTAGATGCAAGCTTTAATCTCATGCTCAATACGTTAATGCATAAAGTGTGTTATAATGTCTATACTCGCGTATGTTCTACATTTCATGGGCATGCATGTTTCATTCAGCTGAAATTTCAACATATGCTGTGCTTTCTCGTTCTTTGCAGATGCCTCAATCATTCCACTGACCAGCAGATGGAAGAGAGTTTAAAACGAGCAATGCAATTAATGTCTAAGAAGCTTAGGTTTTATTGTCTGTATGGACAATGCACTGACTGCTGTTTCTTCTGTGACTTCAAAAGAGTGGACTGTTGGGCGAGTTGATGCTTTGACATAAAAACAATTGTGAGGGCGCAACCAAACACAAGACAGGCGAGGACACGCCCCTGTCCTCGTCTGTCTCTTCCTGTGTGTTGTGTTTAGTTGCAGCCCTCACGGTGGTTTCGGTGTCCTTCTGGGACCTCGCTATTCATACTTGCCAAGGCACCGAAATTAGCAATTTAGCCAGTCTGTCAGCAGCTAATAATTGCGATAGGGTAAAAAATTTAAGTACACTTAGGAAAATTTGCATGAAGAACCTTGACACACAATACTGCCACAATGCAGTCTACCCAGGACGTTTTAGTTGTTGCATTCTTTACAGCTCTCTCACAAGCGATACCTGGACTGTACAGAAGAACGCTCATGTTGAAATTGTTTGACAGTTCAGGTGCATCGCGGCGCACATCTTTTGTCATACTCGCAATATCAATTAGTGATATTTTGTTGGCGCGTCACTGTCAAGAGCTGTGCAGCTTCGTGATACCTCATGTCGCATGCATTCTTGGCCCTTCCTCTGATGTACACATTTCAATATGTTTATACAGCTCTACAGCGAGGAAAGTGCCAGCTGGAAAAGCAGAAGAGCAATATGCGATATTATGACAGAGAGATGCAGTTAGGCACAAATTGTGTTTCTTCTCTGCCTGTTCGATGTTTTGTTCCGTGCTGCACAGTCAATTATTATTCTTACAGGTCCACCTGCAGTGATCACTGTTCTTTTTTATTTAGGTGAATGCTATTGCTATATACAGAGAAAACACATGTCAAAGCACACCGCATAGACTTTGAATACTGTTTCTAATAATGATTTGCCAGATTTAAGAATAGTATGTTGTGCCCTGACCCATTTGTTTCCATTAATTAACATTTATTTCTGTTATTGCAGAAATTTTATTTTTACTGTTACAGCCCTCATTGCAGCTGTATTTTGTCACAGCTAGTTTTGTGGACAATCATTTTTTCAAGACTAATGCAACCAATGTTTATTGAGAACACTGTATGTAAAAAGCAGTGAATATTTGCTGATGAGGCGCTTGGGCACAAGACATTTTGTTGTCACTCGGACTCCATTGGGATCACTCAGAAAAGTGCAATCCTCTACACTGTGGTTCTACCTTCTGTTTTCCTTTCTGTTTCCACCATTTCGCTTACTGTCATGGCTCTCTTTTTCGCCATGTTTAGTTTGGAGACTGTGCCAAACTTAGCCTGAATTGGTGCTCTTGACAGTAACTAATGGCTGATTAAATAATTATCGAAGAAGGATGGGCAAGCATTTGTATAAAATTCAAGGTTCTCTACCTGTTTGTATGGGTCGAGGAATATCTGAACAAAAAAAAAAAATCGTACACATCTCCCCGTAAAGGGAACCTTCAGTAGTATGAAAAGTAGCCATGGGTTGACACAAGCTTCTTGCTTTTTATTCATCACCATAGACTTTTATGGTTCTGCACACAGTTGCTTTGTGAGCCCTCGCCTTTGCCACGCTCGTGCTCATGTGTTCAGTCATGCTATTACACTGTGTGCGTGAGAGAGAAAGGAGTAAGCGTTTTTATTATATAGAGCAGTGCAACGCCTCTAGCAGTCTCAACTCATACCAGAGCACGCACTGGAGTGGAGCGAGCACTCTATTGCTTAGCCATCTAGTGGATGCTCCAAGTACTAGCGTGGCTACGACAACAGGCTAGGGACAATCCCCGACCGTAAGTTGCCTCATGTCTAAAACTTATTGCAGCTGAGTCTTTCGAGAGCAAGCTGAAAACAGGATCAAGTGATATTCTCCGCTCTATATCTCTATACTTGCATGTGTGTGCTTGTGGGGTTTACGTGCAGTGGGTTACTGTGTCTACAATTTTAACCGTACTGAGTATTTAAGAATGGACCCCTTGGTATACTCCAAGTGCTGAAATTCATGAAAAGTATAGAGTGCACTCCTACTGTACTTTCTCACGTGTGTGTTGTCATTACAAGTTAAATGTGTTGTGCGTTCAGGTCCACATTTCCTCATTTTTTACTCTCACCACCCTTTCATCTTAGTGAACAGTACTTGCTAGCTTTTCTTCCTTGCATTCCAGTCTTCAAACAAAAGAAGGAAATGGTTTTTTTTTGTATTTGTAAGTTACTCTGTTATAATTCCAATGTCACTGTGATTTCTTCAAAAAGATGCTTGGTAAAAAAAGTCCTAAAATAAAGTGCAGGTGCTGATGCCACCTTGATATTTGTGCACCAAGTACCGTATTGTCATAGATTTTGATGGGGTTTACTTAGTCTTATGTATTTTCTAATCAGTTAAAATAAAGTACATTTTTCTCTGAGGGGGCCATATGCTTAACATACCAAGTTTCAAAATGTTTTGTTGAGCCAATGTCGCTATAATTTGAATGATAGACTTTGAAATTGGTGATGTGTGCACAGAGTTTTCAGCACAAAATTCTGAAATGAGACTCACTTTCTAATATCACTTATTTCACATATTAATACACCTGTAATGGGTAAAGTAACAACATTATAGTTCTCAGAGCACAATCGATTACATTAATATCGTCTGGCATCCTGGCTGTGGTGTTAGCATTTAGATAAAGGTGAAGTGGTAGAGACCCATGTGCTGTACGATATTAAATCACTTTAAAAATCTCCAGATGGTCAAAATTTTACTATGGCGTTCCCTCATAATCACGTCAATTTGGGATGTGAAATCTCAGCTATTGTTATTAACATAATGTTTTGTTGTTTTTTCACTTGAGTGCCCTTTCGACTATGTTCTCTGCTGGAAATCAATCTTTTCAACATTTGCAGGCCTGGCTGCTGTGCGATTTCGCCCTGGTCGGCCACGTCATATGGGCTTTTCAAAAGCGAAAACTGTGTGGAAGTGTGCTGTGTGTGGCTATACCACGAGCGACAGCTCTTATGCGTCTAAACACAAGAAAATACACACGGGAGAGCGCCCATACAAATGCGGCGTCTGCGGCAAAGCCTTCAATCGTAAAAGCACCTTGAACACGCACGCTCGCGTCCATACCGGCGAGAGACCTTACCAGTGCCACCTCTGTCCCTGGAATTCTGCGTGGAAGTTGGGACTTACGCGCCACTTGGAAACTCACCAGCGCAGCCAACATTCGCTTGAAGGTGCTAGCGTGTAAGTTTTGACAGAAAAAGGCTGAGAAGGCACTGTCACGAGTGCATCTCGTTATGTGGCTTTATGCTCTAGTCCTGTTTTATGTTTGGCAATGTCTGAGGGAAACCTTGAAACCTGCCACTGAGCTGCTTCAACAATGTGAATAGCCTGGCATGAGACCAGGACAAGTACAATCTGGACACAAGCTTATTGGGTGTTAGGATCAATGTTGAAGGCTGTCCTAGTGCAGCTATGCATTAGAGTAGACATGGGTTATGTGCAAGTTATTGTGTGTACTTTTATCCACTTGTCTGTGCAAGTCCCAAGGGTGTAGTGAGTGGAATTATTTGTGTTGTGCTGGTTCGTTGGCATTTAACTGTGCTTTGAGCATAAGCCATTTCAAGTTTCATCAGCAAAAGCTAGTTCTAAACTTATGTCTCTCTATGTGATAGACTAGCCTGAATATTCATTCCGAGGCACAAAGTCCCCGTTTTCATTTCTGTATGATCATTTCCCTGTAGCAGTAAGTTTAGTTACGGTGTGTTTAATGAATGGACATATGCTGTAATTAACTTCCTTCCATGATATCGAGTGGCCTCCTAAAGGTTTTCGTGTGTTTACGTTTGTTTTCGTTATTTCTTGTGACCAGTTTTGTTCCGGCATGATGTCATAATCTCATGCAATTGGGCACACTAGTCATCGTACTTGAAGTCCTGATGTCGCCTTTCAGTCATCGAGTACAGTACAGCAAGGTTTACAAGACACTATTGAAGCTCTTAAAAATGTTTTGATACCATTAGTGTTGATGTCGAGAACAGCGATGCCTCCAATGCCATTAGGGAAAGCAGCACAGAAGCCCATGCTACTATTTTATACGTAACGATGTGATCCCTTCTTTCTTTAAATTTGAAGCATTTCTTAGCGAACTTCCGCGACTTTAAGCGTATCTATCTATCTAGTCGTCTACGACTTCTAGCTCTTCTGGCCGTTTCGATAATGGTGTCGATACCAAACATGGTATGGCATAACATGACTGTATGAAGAACATATTTGACTAGTCATAACATGAAAATCATGACATGTGTGTCATGATTTACATTTCATGGTCCTTCAGCTCTTGCAGTGGTTTTGTTCACATGGAATGTTACAAAACTGCTATGGTATGGCATGATTGCATGGCGAACACAAGTGACAGACACTTGCATGAAAATCATGACATGCGTGTCATGTAATAACATGACTACATGCCACGCTCATGATGAACTCGCGGTCGTTTAGCTAGCGTCACATATACCAAATAAGTTTTACGGTATGTGAATGGATGAAGAAGGTATGATACTGGTGCAAACATATGATATGCATCAGATTCGCGTCATGTAACAACATGACTACATGCTACGCTCATGATGCGCTTGCGGCCCGTTTTGCTAGCGTCACATATACCAAATTTGGTATTACAGTATGCGAATAGATGACGAAGGTATGTGACTGTTGCAAACATGATAATCATGAGATGCGTGTCATGTGAGAACATGACTACATGCCACAGTCAAGGCATCAATACATTTCGACGTGACGCGTTGCGCGTGCTCTGCGGCAGTTCATTCTGTCGAGTCACACCAGCGTTGCCACGCCAGGCACCGGTCCTGCCATGCACTGGCAGGCACATGCCGCGCTACGTTGCATTGACACATGCGCGTTTCAGCACGTTCGGCGTCCCTTCGTCACGAAAAGAGGGAGACGCAGTGTTGTCTGGGTAACGCATCGACGCGAAATGAAGCATGTCGCATTTTGCGCCGGTTGCCGTCGGGCCGTGCCGACGGACGGCCGGTCGCGCCTGGCTTCAGATTATAGAGTGCTCGCGTTTCGCTAACGTAGCGTCGCTGTGCCTAGCATGTGCGCGCGTTTCACCGCAACATTCGAGTATATTGGGCCCTTTATGATTCGCTCGCGGCCGTTTGGCTGGCTCCACATATACGAAATTCGGTGTTACGTGACCTCAATGAATGACGAAGGTATGTGACTGGTGCAAACATGATAATCCTGACACACGTGTCATGCAAGAACGTGACAATATACCATGCACATAGCATGCTCACTGCCATTTTGCTAGCTCTACATATGCAAAACTTGGTTTCAGGTGACGTGAATACATGATGAATGTAATGACAGGTCCAAACATCATAATCATGACACGGAAGTCATGTACGGCATCATTTACCTCCACCTCGTAACGTTGTGCTGATTTTAAAGTGACATATCAACCATCTCTTATTCGTGCTTCGCATATCATCGATTGCCACTGTACATGGGATCTGCCAATTTCTTTATTTCTCTCCTATTACATGTGTTATTTGTTTCGTCGTCATTGGATTGCTCCTTCACTTTTCTGTGTAGGGAAAAAGTGCACGTACTGTCAGGCAAGTAAGTGTATTACACTTAGTTGTCTCATCGTAAATGCAAACGTAAATCGTAAATGCAAACGAAGTACAATGTCAGGGGGGTGGTACTACTGCTCTTGTTGCTACATCGTGAAAGTTATTATAGGCACCTTCCCACCTAATTGCTTTTCAAAATTCTGATATACCCCATTCATCTCTGAGCTTCTGGTAATGCAGAAAATATTCTAACATAAGCATTGGCTTTCATTTTGCTAGAAACTCTCATCACAAACTGTACAGATACCTATAGTGTGGCTATTTCAAATCCAATACGGCACAAACAACATTGAAGACAAAGTCAGTGATTTTTGTTACTGTTTCTGTGTGCTTATGCCTTTTTTCATGAGGGTCTATTCACAAGCAGGGATGGGAACTACTCTCACCAAATGCAAATACCTTACCGTTTTGTTTAGTGCCGTAACAAACCTTACAGGAAAACACACAAACAAAGCAAGGCCAGTTTTCTCGGTTACATCCCGCATATTGACTGATGAAAGAGATCACAGATGTTGAAAGTCCTCTTTTCATTTTTCCTTAGGCAGGAACTTAACCATGTTTGTATGACATTAAACATTTCGTTGTATGATAAATGCTAGATGTTGTTTGACTGTGTAGTCATGAGGAGCACTTTATGAAGTGTTCTTGTCATATATACTGAAGTTATGTAAGAAAGTTTGAAAATCTGCCGCTGTTGTACTTGGGTGTGGGGACAGGCTTCTGTGTTCTTTGTAGAACAAGGTCCTCCTTTGAGATGATTGTCGATAGTGATGGCTGTACAGATGCTCCTACTGAACAATTATAATGAAATTATTCTCTTCACATTGAGCATGATGTTGAAGACGGTAACAATCTTGTTTTTTCATGAGTCGCACGTCATGCAGTGGTACTGCACACCACTGTTGATGTCAGGCGGTAGGATGCCAGCTTCCATGTGAGACACACTGGGTTCAATTCCCAGTGCCATCATGCACCCACTGTTCTTCCAACAGGGAAAGCTCTGGCTTGGGACTCTGTAATGTGTGTTTTCATACCTTGTGAAAATGGCCTCTCAGTTACCTTATAACTCAAATCTCATTGTAACAAAGGTGCATCTTATAGCAAAATAAGTTTGTTATATCCAAAAATTCGTTGTGCAGATACATTCCTAACACTATATTTATTGCAAGACTATTTTTAATGTACTTTGTTGTAACCAATATTTTGTCATATCTGGGTTCGTTATACCGAGGTTTGTGTATACATTTCGCTGCCCTTCTCATGTACAATGGCGTGCAGTTATGGCACACGGCCTACGTTACTTGCTTTCTGTAAACTCTACCCTGTTTGTATTGTTATAAAATTGTACTGCTGTTAGTGCACAGCATATAAATATAGAGTTACACCCTGATGTATTTGAGTCGCATATGAAGCATGGATATGCACAACATATCTCACGCTTTCTGTATGCTGACAACAACTGCATGCTGATATTGACATACATGTTTCGAGGTATCTTCCATGTTGAGAGTAGTGTGCTACTGTTTCGCAAATGTCAGTTCATGCCAAAGTTGTAGAGATAATTGTTATTTTCTATTATATTACTGTTCATTGAGGCAATGAGGCTGCAACTGCCCAAGTAAGAGAACCAGCTACCTTGAAGAAGACAAGTTCTCTTGTCGAAGCAGTGGCTCCAGGATTTTTCATTCCTTCAAATATCCTGAACTTTTTCCTCATTTGGATTACTATTCATTGTACTGCACGTAACAGTTATGGTGCCTTCATAAAAGGTACACAATTGCGTGGATAATAATTGTACAGGTTATGATAGCCTTGAGAAGATCAACAAAGATAAAATGTTCATTAGTCTTCTAGTCCATATTAGAGGCCTCTTTAATGCCATTTAAGGCTTCTGTTACAGATCATCGATGCTCTCAACAGAAAGGGGCCACTGCCGTTTTGTGAAGTTACAGTCACCAGTAATGCTTCTGTACTGCATAGATGCATAGAACTGTTGAAGAAAGCATGCAAAATGTTAGAAAAGGCTTTGCATCAATGTTGCGTAATTTTCCCTAGTCTCTCAATAATTGCCTCCAGACTATAAGGTATTCTGTATTAAACTCGTCTTTTGTTCAAAATACACTGTTTTAACTTGCGCAGACTTGGTTGCGTTATGCCATCACCATCGCCAGCCACCTCATCTGGGCTCTTCACGAAAAAAACGCCTGTGGAAGTGCCTCGTGTGCGGCTACACTACCAGTCACAGCTCTAACATGTCGAAACATCGAAGAGTACACACTGGCGAGTGCCCATTCAAATGTGAATACTGCGGCAAAGCCTTCAACCGTAAGGGCAACTTGGCCACGCACGTTCGTATCCACACCGGCGAGAAGCCTTTTCAGTGCCACCTGTGCCCCATGAATTTTGTGCAGAAGGCCACCCTTCTGCGCCATTGGCAAACCCACAAGAGCAGGCACTTTTTGCCTGATTATGTTTGCTCTTTGTCTGATGATGTTCACTCTAAAACTATTGATGAGAAAGATTGAGAAAGTATGCGATGTGTGCACCTCATTCTGTTGCCTTGGTTGCTGGGCTACAATGGCTGAAAGTTGGTCTGTGCAGTGGTGAAATCTGCCCCTGGATCACTTGAACAACAGAAAGGATATACATGATACTTGAAAAACTGCAGACAGGGCACAGAGTCTTGCTCAAATTGTACCATTTGGCTAAGTGTGTGCCATGTAACAGATGTGCTCATATCTGTGTGTTTATGTATATGCCAAAGTTGCATTGAACAAAGTCGTTTGTGAAGTGCTGTTTTTCTGACATGTAGCGTGGTACATCACTTAAAACTGAGCTGCTGCATTTCTTTTCCTTTTGAAATGACGATGGTCTGTCAAGAAGTCTTTGTAGCACTGTGTTGTAAAAATTAGCATATTGGCACCAGTGAGGACACCAAGACAAGCAGAATGAAAATAATCATTTCTATTGATTATTACCATTTTCAATATGTCGCTATACTGACTTTTTGGACCCACCCCCCTGAATCAATACAAAACCTGCCCTGTACCCAACGTGTTCAAGCTGCTGGCATTTAAACGCAGCTGGTTTTACGCTATAGGTAATGTTCTTCCGCTTGTCCCTTATGCCATATTGCATTCACCAGAAGCTAGCTTCAACGTCTGTGCATATTCTGAAGTCCGGTGATTACCAATTAAAAGTTGGCATAAACCGAGCAAGTCCGTGTTCTTTGCTACTGTTTTTTGTGGCGCTATTTTAAGAATGTCATAGTGGTTTATTGGCAAGTTGTGCTTGTCAATGTCCACCACATACGTACGATGCAACTATAGTTGGATACAGCTTAGGAAGTTCGAAGAGGTCACGCTCTGACAGCCAAAGCTCAGCAAGACATGGCCTTCGCCACTGAAGATATACTCCAATTCATGCCCCTGGCAGTGGTCTCCTATAGTGGGTTACCAGCGGTACAAGTCATGACATCAACCTGAAGAGCATACCCATTGGTGCAGGCCATTAGTGCATGCCTTGTTGCTCAATGCTCTAACAATCGACAAACATGATGTGGAAACAATTTCATAATTTCTTTATTGCATTGAGGGTTGTAGATAGTTATGCAAAGGGATAGATGTGCCCAAAATAAGCATTGTAGCTTTCATCAGTTATGTCACTCGTTGAAAGGTAGATTGAACCAGTGAAAGTTATTATCTTTATCATTTATTAACGCCGTATAGTGTTAAGAGACCTTTTCGCAGAAATTCCAGCGTCGACGTGAGCGTTGTTAGTTGTGAGCGAAAAATCAAAAAAGATGCTAATAAAATAAATAATAAAAAATTCCACGTCTGATTGAGGAACAAACCTGGGCTGTTTGCATATCAAGCATCTGTTCTAGCACACAACTACATGTCTGCTTTGAAATTCAGTGAAAGTAATGTCCATGGTTTACAAATGCATGCACAAAGCAGTAATATTGCAGTGATACTGCATGGTACAAGCGTACATTGCCATCAGTCAGAGCATGTGATTATCATAATGACTTCATGGTTTAAGGCCGGTCATCAATTGCAGGCACGTTACTGCGTGTATTCCCTTGAGACCACATAGTGGGTGCATAGCAAGTTCGAAAAGATTTCATGCTCATAATAGCTCGTGGTTAAAAGCATGCACCGATGCGAAAGCTTCACTGACACAAGCCACATTTAACTCTATCGGTGACGTTGTAGCTGTATCAATGACAATTTGAACTTGTCGAGGAACATTACAAGGTGAAAGGTATGCACTAAGTGGTTGAAGTACGCACTAGGGACAGGCTAACGCTGTTGCGTTCAAATCTTAAAGGCGAAGCCTAAGGGTATTTATTTTACAGACCTCTGGCAGAGTGTTACATAAAGGGGGCAGGGGGTAGTTACATATAAAGTAAAATAAAATGGATTGGGTCATAACATCTAAGCCGAGTTATGAATGTTCCATTTTCATCAAAGCAGTATGCTTGGCTCTTTTTGTAAGACACAGCACATGGTGTATTATAAAAAACGCTGCATGAAAAACTAGAAATAACAGTGCAGTTTCATGAACGTTCTGTGTTTATGAAACATGGGATGCATTTAACCTTTAGGCAATATCTTTGGCTCACAAACTGTTAAATTTACGTGGGCAGCACATACTTAGCTGACAAAATATTGTGCCCGAAGAGTGCGGGCACCTTGAGATTGTCGTCTAATGTCACATTGCAGGGTATACACAAGCTAAGCTTCAAAATTTTAAAACTTTTCACACCCTGCTTTTAAGAAGTTAATCTGTGCCACCTGTAGCATACACCATTAAAAATAATGAAAGCAACCATTGTGTTCCTGCGGGACTATTCACAGGAACAACAAACCTTTACCACCCAGATAAATTTGATATGTAAACAAGCAACCTACTGCAGCATGCGGCCTTGTCAAAATAAAACTAGTGTCATAACTAAGGTAGCCAGACGTTCCAAGGCGCACGTCCAAAGTAAAGTCATCTATATGTAAAAACTGGAAAGAAATTACTGCAGTGTTACCAATTCATTCGCAGAAAACATTGTTAAACCGAGTTTATAGCCATAAAAGTTGCAATATTAAAACCAGTGGTTACCTGTAGGGGAATGAAAATTTCATCCCGAGATCCGGAAAAGTGTTTTATTATATTGTGTTACAACTGCACTTCTCAAAGTCAGCATTAAATCGTTTCCTCTTATCTGAACAAATGATCGTGATTCGCATGGTCACGTGGCATCTGTAACTCCGCTCGTATTTGACATTCTCGAAACTCTTTGCGGCAGTCGACCCGTGAGAGACTAAGTTCTTTTAGCGAAGCCGTTTGATGATTACTTAGAACAATGTTGCAGGGCCCATTTAAATATCTCCGACCACAAGAGCCAGTACAATGCCAGTACACTTTAGCGTAGCAATCCAGCTTCTGAACACTTTGCGATAGACATTGCGATAAAGTTCACTATTCATTGGAGATGATGAACGCGAGGTTATGTCTAGACACTGTAGTTATGTAAATTGTAGTTGTAAGCACATTTGACCGCGAGCTTGACCTCGTGCTCGAACTTAAGTGGATATAGCGGGGCCACAGAACACCTGCGGGGCGATTTAATCAAACCAACGCCTCCTCCAGAAAGATGCCTGAGGAATGGCTCGCGCTCCCAGCGGAGTTGGCCTGCCTTCAGTTTCAAACAAGCTCCGCGCGGTGGCGCTCGCGACCGACACTGTTATCACGGCAACGGGCGACCAGCTAAGCGTTTTTCATCTGCGGCCCATAGGGGCGCGTCAGTCGAGAGTTGTTTGAGACCTGCAACTGTGCACCCCTGTTTTGGAGGCTGTTTTGGGGCTATTCCGCGGTGGGGCTATTCTAAGGAGGATTAAAGAAAAATTGCTGGAGTGGAAGCTCCCGCAATGCCTTGCCAGCAGACGTGAAGCCACCTTTTGCCACTGCCAAGATGGCGGAAACATGCTCTTTTCTGATGATGCCCACTTAAAGATGAAGTGGCTTCGTTATGTTATGTAAATGCTACGTTAGTTATATGTTAAAAGATAGTTGTTCCCAACGAAATAACACACGGAAACAAGTATGAATGACTAAATCTTCAATAAACTTTGCCTCCCATGAGAGGCTCACTAAAGAAAACTAGTAACTGTAAGACGCACTTCGAGCACTATATGACCCGAAAAAGTTCCCACATTAAACTCGATGGGCGTCCGAGAGAAACGCTTCGTTTCTAATCGCTGAACGGTGGTACTTTACAATGCCCCTAGTAAGATGGCCGCCACAGCCACCATCTTGCGAGAGGAACGGCTTCACATCTTGGAAATCATTTTCACTCCAGCAATTTTTTAATCCTCCTTGGGCTATTCCGTGCTTCCTGTTTTGGAGGCTATGCAAAGTGTTGCGTTGTTGCACCGTCCGCCACAGGTGACGCTAGCGACCGAGAACATTTTGAACTGAAGGAAAGAAAGAGTGTGGCAGTTGTTTTTTTTCTCATGCGGCAGGCATCTTCCTAGAGGAGGCGTTGGTAAAACGTGCGCGTAAGTGCTTTTTTTTTACGCACCACAAGTTCTGCGCAATGTAATGTTTTCTCAAAATATTTCAGATAAACTTGAAACCCTGTTAGCATGTCTCCTACGCCTAAAAACACATGTAACGGCGTTTTCTAACGCTAATTTTAGCGGTTTCGTAGATAGTTGCATAGACAACTATGACAGTGTGGCAGTAATTAATGGTTGATTGGTAATTAAGCTGATTAATTAGCTGAGATGGCGGTGTTTCAGAGCTGGGCGCTCTCTCAGCCTAGTTTTTTCTCTAGGGCACGTACTAGCTTTATGGATACGTGGGATAGGTTTGGCCAAGTTTGGCGCCGACACTGAGGGAAATCAGCGGCCATTTCAAAGATGACACGCTGCGCGTTTGCCGCATTACCGCACAGTCCTTGTTGTCGTTCTCGACCAGTGAGCGTTGACTTCGTGTGCCCGATTCGGCGAAACATCCTTCGGTTGTTGTTATTTTGTGGCCAAGTTTTACGAGAGTCAATAGAAGTGGTGACTCGAAGACCACGTGCTATCTGCGCTGCTCGGCTGTGCACTCAGCTTTCGATGTTTTAACAGGACTACTAACGGCATTCGGATAACTCGCCGTATGGTGCAGGACATTTCGACCTGGCTCATTCTGACCGACTACGGTTTTTCAAGTAGCCCCGAGTGCGGTCGCTGACGGAGCATTTGTGTCGTTTAGTGTCGTCGCCACTTGTGTGTTCTCGTCAAATTTTCTGGTGACCACGTGCTGGCGACGCACTGCTTGGTTTTCGCGACTGCATTCGTGCTTGGTTCCGTTTCGTCAAGTGACTCAAACGCAACCATAGGGTGTGCACGCGTACTGTGATTGGATAACTTGTGGTGCCAGCGTTGGTTATGCCAATCTCACTCGATCGGGCGATTTTAGTCGCATTTTGACTCCCAGGGCGAAAGGTTAACTAAATAATGCATTATATTTTTACCATGCAATTGAAAAACTAAGGAATGGGGTCAAGCATCAAATATAAAATGTTCATTTTGTAAAGGGTCATCGAGGTGTCAGA